ACTTTTTGAAATAAGTTACACACATATATATATATATATATATATATATACACACACACCCACTACCGGTAAAAAATTTGGAATAATTAAGATTTTTATTTTTTTTTTGAACGTGCTATTAGAATAATTTCTGAAGGATGAACTGAAGACTGCTGAAAATTCAGCTTTGCCATCACAGTAATAAATGACATTTTAATATACAGTATATTTTAATTGAAAATAGTTATTTTAAATTGTAAAAATATGTCACAATATTACTGTTTTACTGAAGTTTTTATCAATATAGCCTTGGTGAGCATAAGAGGCTTTTTTCAAAATCATTAAAAATCATAATTATTCCAAACTTTTGACAGGCAATGTTCATAATTAAAACTACTACTACTGCTACTAATATTACTAATAATAAAGTTTTGTTTTAAATGGTGCGTTATGGTTTGATTTCACTTTTTTATTTAATTTTTACACATTGGTGAGTGTAAATGAGAAAGCGTTTGTGTGATCTTCAAAAACTGGATAAAGCATGTGTCATATGGCTGTAACAGCAAGAATAAATTGATGGACAATTTCATAAACTTTTTAATGATATGTTTATTTGTTTATCTACAACTAATTTGTCCCGGTTAATATAAATAAATGTATTACAAAGCTAGTTAGTTGGCCATTGGTGCACCTATTAATGTTCAGTGATTTGAATGTTAAGTGCATGTAATTGTGTTTTTCAGGTTTTTTATTACTCCACTGGTATATTTGAGAAAGCAGGAGTGTCTGAGCCGGTCTATGCCACCATTGGTGCTGGAGTTGTGAACACAGCATTCACAGTTGTGTCGGTAAGTTAGTACGAACATATTTTTTGTGATTTTGTCCTTTGTTGAGGCGCATGACAGTGTTTTGGATGAAAATGCTTGTATCTCTCTCTAATTTAGCTGTTCATAGTGGAGCGAGCTGGTCGAAGATCATTACATCTTATTGGGCTGATGGGAATGGCTGTGTCTTCTGTTCTCATGACCATAGCTATGGCGCTACTAGTATGTATCTGCTTACATTGATGTACTATATTTCTGTTAGTGTTCATGTGTAAACTGGTGTTTAATGGTGTTTATTCACTAATTGTCCTTTGCAGGATCAAGTGAAATGGATGTCATATGTCAGCATCGTCGCCATCTTCAGTTTTGTGGCATTTTTCGAGATCGGACCAGGCCCAATCCCATGGTTCATTGTGGCAGAACTCTTCAGTCAAGGTCCCCGGCCTTCTGCCATCGCTGTTGCTGGTTTCTCCAACTGGTTTGCCAACTTCTTGGTGGGAATGAGCTTCCAGTATGTTGAGGTATGGAAACATTACATAACACAGACATAACACAGTTATAGTCTTTATTTTCTCGTCGTTCTCACATTTCTTTAAATACTCACAGTTTTTTCTGTTGATAGGAACTGACAGGGCCGTATGTTTTCATCATCTTCACTGTCCTCCTGCTGATATTCTTTGTCTTCACCTACTTCAAAGTTCCTGAGACCAAAGGGCGGACATTTGAAGAGATCTCTGCGGGCTTCCGCTCAGGGTCAGAGAAATATACCCGAGATGATCTGAACACATTGGGGGCAGATTCCCAGCTCTGAGCTCAGTGCCACGTTTATACAGTAATGCTGTGGACTAACCAAGTGAGTGTCCTCGGCTATAGCACAGTGGGAATGTTCACAATGGCAAACTATCATATTACTCCTACTAGGAATGCTGTAGGTTATGCAGTGTTTACTATGCACTAGTGTTGTCACGATACTGGAATTTCTAACCTTAATACGATTTCGATACCACAGGGAAAAACTGGAACAACATTAATGGCATAACATTTTTGATTTCTATTAAATGATAAATATGACAAGGCTAGAACTTGACAATGAGGAATATTTTTACAATAATGAAAACTTCTTGAGGTGGTAAAACACTGAAGAAAAACTTATACTGTACACTGCGAAAAGCTTATGGATTTGCATGTTTACTTCAAATGTTTTTTAAAAGAAGTATTAATTTTGCTATTTTATTACAAAGAATAGGGGGGTGTGACCATTATCTAGCATAATGAGCACTATAAACACATGTAATGCAACATGGCATTTAATACAATATAGAATACTGTAAAATAATATATTTTCTGCCTCGTTCGAAGCCAAATCAGATCACAAAAGGATGTTATTTCAAACACTCGACTGATATTATGAAGCAAGTTTAGAGTTGGTATCGGTGTATCAGTACTACGGAGAAAGAGTTTTGAAACCGTCTATGATCAAAACTGTTTCAGATATTTCAGTATCGATATGTATCAAAAAAATTGATATTTTTGACAACGCTAGTATGCAGATTTTCTGATTGCATTGAATACTCTTATGACTTACTACATTAGCCAAACTGTGCAATATTTGACCAGTACACTGCTTCTCAATAATTACTCATTATTTCACTGGACTGACAAAAGTGTGAATATTTGTACACAAAATTGTATTAAACATTGCAAAATTGCTATATTTATTTCTGAAATCGTAACCAGACACTTCTCTCTAATGTAAAATATGTGACATTGTGATAACAGTGTACCATACTACAGTTTAAACCTTTTTTTTTTGCATACTGCAGACTATTTTTAGATACATTACGTATTACATACTGTGCTATTATCTTTTACATACTATATTGTAACAATAATATGTAGTATACAGTATGGTGTAGCATGCAGTATGCAGTATTTTAGTATTCCATTCTGAACATTCCCACTGTCTTCAGCAAACAAACACTAGCACAGAAAGTTCTGCATTTTTCCTCACACCAACTGTTTTTTTTTTAATTGTTTGTTTTCACATTCTGAAATAGAGAATAGTATCTAAAAATAATAATCACAATTTCAGCATGTTTAAATGCATATGAATAAGATTATTGTACATTAGTGTACTATTAGGCCATTTGAATGATAACAATTCGCACAATTCAACTTAAATATATTGTTTTTTAGACTATAACTTTTAACAGTTTTTGCTAGTGTCCAGTCAACACATGATGAGTTCTGATATAATATGTCTCCTGATGTTATATCAGGTATAATGATGTCAGAAATTATTATGGTGTCAGATTATGATATATGTTTATCAATACTTGAACTGTAGCTTTACCAAGGAGTGGCAAGATTAATTAACAAAAAGAATACAAACTCAAATCAATTATTTACAATTATACAGCAGTCCTTCTGCTTTTCAGAAGTGTGAATTAGGGTCTCCAATACAATGAGGTTTAATATCTTTCCAAATTGGACCAGTCTTATTTTGACCTCCAGCAAATTAACTCAACTAATATATTTGTTATACTATAAAAAATATATATTTTAGATTTGTGCATAATGTTTGATGTTTGTGTGATGATGAGAATTTAGTATATTGTTCATTTTGCAAAAGTGCAATAATTGTTCACATCCTGTTTATTTATTCCACATATTGTTAGGCATTATGAATGAAACAGGCTTCTAATATTTCTTATGTAAAAAAAAAAAGTATTTTTATGTATAGGAGTGTTTTCATTTAACATGGCATAGACTGACATAGAGCCATTCATCCAGAGGATGTAAATAGGTTCAGGTTTACTAAAGCATATTATTTTTACTAGATGTGCTCAGTATTTTGAATTTTTTTAACTTCCTAAAAGATGAGATATGGTTTTGTTCAGTATGCCACAGAAATTGTATTAGAAATCCAAGAAAAAATGTGCCAAGACATGTCCTTGCTGGGTGTCCTACTTTTTCTAAATAATCAATTTATAGTTGCAAATAAATCAAATAAACAAAACTGCAACAGAGGAACATGTGTCATTTTTGTTTAGTTTCTGTTTCTGGATCACTGCTTAGCAGAAATGTCACATAAAGGTGTTTAAAATACTGAAATGCATAAAGCCACAATTAATCTCAACACCAAAAGATGGCAGTATTTCTCTCTACAATAGTACTGGCTATCCACTGTCGGATGTATGGATACATTTTTGGTTACCATTGACTTCCATTATTGACAAAAAATTAAGACATTTCTCAAAATATTATGAAAATATTCTCAAAAGTTTATGTTCAGCAGAAAAACGAAAGTCATACACCCTTATGAAAATTAACAATGGTTTTATTATAGTGTATAGTATAGTAACCATTTATTTATTTTGGCCTGTTGATTGCCATTTGTAGAACCACAGTTTTATTCCAAATACTATGGTTAAACTATGGCTAGTGTAGAAAAAATCAGGTTATTAGTCAAAGTTCGCTAAACGTAGGCTAGGCTATAAACTGAATTTGTATCACTGTCCGGTATCAGACGCTACATTGACACAAAAATATTGTACTTATTGTTTTTAATAATTTTCTAGTTTTGTTCTTCACAAATAAAAATCGCATTGTGATACACCTGTAATAAATAAAGTATAGGCCTACCACAAAGTGGCACTAATGTGACTCACATCAGTGCCACTTTGTGGTAGGCCTATACTTTACATTATGTGAGCAAAATTTGGCACAGCATAATATTCTACAGCTAGTTGTGTTAAAGGAAAAGTTTGCCCCAAAAAAGAAATTTTGTTGGAAATTACTCACCCATGGGACATCCAAGATGCTGCTTGCACCAACCGATCTTCTGCAATCAATGGGTGCAGATAGAATGAGAGTTCAAACAGCTGATAAAAACAACACAATATAAATTTGTAAGCACATTTTCAGCAAATTTTCATTTTTGGGTGAGCTGTTCCTTTAATGTACAACCCATAATGCAGGAAAGCATCTCAACAGTGATCCTCCATCTTTTGATGGCAGAAAACGTGCATTTGAACCTAGTTACAGTTTAGTGGCCCATCTGTCGATTGTCAGCAAAATCCTCTTACTGTAATGGACAGAGCCAGAGACATAATGACTGTCATTATAACAGCACCACGGGGTGTCTTGTGATTTTGTCATAAAGCAACAGATTGCAGCATCTTGCCAGAATAAATGATGGGTTTTCATATGTGTTGATGGGATATCAACAATTTTAGCGGCAACAAAAATACTGTAGCACTCAACACCGGCTTTAAAATTTACACTACAAAATCCAACAGTTGAATTTCCTCAGGGATAAAAATCAATGAGAAACAGAAAAACTACTGTCCATTCTATGTCATATTAAAGACAAAACAAAGCATAAAATGCAGACACTGCAGCTGGAATGCTGACATAGTGTGCATAACCTGAATTGATTTTTCAAAATTAAAAAAAGGGAAGAAGAAATGCATTAGTTTGCATGTGCAGTCATGCAGTCACAGTCTCCTGAAGAGATTATTAATTGCTTTCTCTCTCTCCAGCTCCTGTTCTCATTTTCAGCTCTCCTCCATTTCGAATCAGAGTGTCGTAACCAAACTCCCACCACATTACAGTTTCATAGCACCAGAGAATATTTTCCGAAAACCCTTTTTAAGATTAAAGAGGAACAAACAAACAAAATCCACTAATTTACCTTAAGTAAAGGCTATGCCTTGAGGCAGAACTAGGCCATAGAATGCATTGCGTTGTGTATAATGAATCTACTGAGAGAGTTGCGGTATGACTTCACTTCACAGTCCACTAATTAAATTTGCTCCTTAGTTGGATGTACAGCTAGAGACATCGTCCTAGTTTTAATGAGAGCCTGATCTTTTCACCCTCTATAGGCCTACTCTTCACATTGATTTATCCTATGATGCACAAACCATAAAACCTAAGAGAGAACATGGAGCCTGAATCGTGAATTGCATTGTGCTTTATATTACAGCATTTTCTTAGTTTTTTTGCTCCAATGTGTAGTTTTATGTATTATTTATTTTTTGAATGTATGATTTTTTTGTGAATTAATTATATTTATAGTTCTTTGGTATCATCCAATGTATTATTTCTTAACAGTTACATAAACAGAATGTGGAAAAAACAAGGCGTGACAAATTAAATTAAATACAAATTATTTTTTCATAATATTAGTATGTTGCTATGTTTGTTAGAGATTTAATGCTGGATTTAAGTGCTAGGCCGCTGACTAGTGATATGAATGATAGACATTAAAGGGCTTTTTTGTGTAAGTGCTTTTCTACAAAATATTCTTCGGTCATGTGAAATTCCCAGAAACCACTTCAGATTGCACTTCATCTAATGCCAGAATTTGATTGCTTCTTGATTTAGATAAATAATATCATATGCCATCTACTAATCTTCATGTGACATTTGGATCAAGATGATCATTTGGATGATCATACTAATCATCATTTGCATCAAGGTGGAATTATTGAAATTATATCGATATTATGAAAAATGTTTTCATATGGGTATTTAATTAATATTTTTAGACTGAAGATTGGAGTGTTTTGATATATTGGTGTTTATAGTGCCATTAGAATTTTACTACAAAACTAAAATACAAATACAAAATTGTTTAGTGAGTCAAATAAGATTAATATATTTTTTTTTAGGCACAATGACTGACTTTAGTATTGTGGTTGCTTTATTCAGTCTCTCAGAAAGTGTAATTTATTCTGATAGAGCACCAAGTTGTTAAAATCAAACTGGAGCCATGACTTACAGACAAACAGCTATCTTTGCTGAAGATAACTTTGATAATTTTACTCTGAGAGCTTTATTTGCATATGAAGAGAAGTTGCATCTTCACAGAGCTGGTGGGGCACACTTTCTTTTGACCGGATGCCTTTTCAGTTTT